TCAAGGTCCCAAAGTCTTTCATATCATTCAAAAAAGAGTGTGGTCAGGTTCTTTGCAGCAATACTCACTACTGGCACCAACTTCTATATTAGTTAATCGTCATTTCTGTGATAAAATGGCATGATCTAGGCAATTTATAGGAGAAAAGGTTTATTTGGGACTGACGTGGTTTTTGAAGCCTCAGAACTTGTCCCCGGTGACATATTTCTAGCAAACTGTACCTCCTAAACCTACCCAAATAGTGCTACCAACTGGGAACCCCAATATTCAAATACCTGAGACTGTGGGAGCTGTCCCATTCAAACCACACTTGTTAGGTTCAAAAGAGGGGCTTATTAAATTTTTGAAAATATATAAATGTAAGGGATAATTGCTCTCCATTAAGCATAGAACAATTCTGTCTTTAGATATGCTTTTATACATTTTTCATTCATTTATACTGTTCTTGGTGTATTTTAATCAAAGCTTATATTCACGTCTTTTTTTGTTCATATACTTATTTGATATACTTTAAAGCAAGAGAGTCTAGGCATGTGGGTCAATGGGGAAGCACTTATCTGGTATGCACAATCCCTGGGTTCATTTCTTTGTACCATTAAAAGGTAAAGAAAGAGAAGGGAGGCAGGCTGAGTTGGTTTTTATGGCTTAGTTTTTTTTTTTTCTCATTGTTTTCCTATTTTCTTCTGTCTGGCTGTGATAGGAACACTATGTAAGCTCATCCAAGTGTTAGGACTTGGATATACACTATGTGGACTGGTAGGTGTTCTTTCTGCACTTGAATTTGTGTGTACTCTGTAAAGCGTGTATTCTGCTCCTGTATAATTTTGATTAAGTCTAATTGGTTCAGTTCTGTGTATCCCTCTTTTCTTTCCATGCACTCTGCCTCTTGTCTTCTTTCTTGGCCTACAAAACTACAAATTTGAACCCATTAACTTATAACTTCTCTTACCCTCTCACCACCTGTAAGCACACTGATCTACTCTCTATTTCTATGCATTTGAAATATACATACATTTTAGACGCCATATAAAATGAGATCATATAGTCATATAACAGTTTTCATTCTGTATCTGGTTTATTTCATTGGCTAGATGTTCTCAAAAGTTCATTTTTGTTATAAATGTGATTATTATCATTTCCATGGTAAAACCCATTATTTTGTACAATTAACATACTAGGATTATTTTTTTAGAGATACAAAGTTGGGAGTGGATAGGGAGGTGGGAGATAGATCTGGGAGGAATTAGGGGAGGTAAATATCGAAAATACATTATGTGGAATTATCAAATAACCAATATATATTTTAAAATGTCAAAAACTTATCATAGAAGAGCATTTATGATAGCCTTTCCACTATTGTTCAAATTGTTAGTTGGGGTCAGTCTTGTAGGTCTCTGGACATTTCTCTAGAGTCAGTTTTCTCTTTAAACCCATAATGGCTCCCTCTTTTATTCTCTCTCTCTCTCTCTCTCTCTCTCTCTCTCTCTCTCTCTCTCTCCTCTCATCTATTTCTCCCCTGACTCAATCTTCCTAGTCCTATGTGCTTTCCTCTCCTTTCCTCTTTCTCCTAGCTCCCTCTCCATTCCATGCACCCCTTCTCAATATGCTAAGGAGATCTTGTTCCTTTCCCCTTCTGTGAGGGACCTTGTATGAATCTGGCAGTGTGAATTGTAGGCTGGCGATCATTTGCTCTAGGTCTAAAATCCATATATGAGTGAGTACATACTATGTTCCTCTTTTTGTGATTGGGATAACTCATTCAGGATGGTTACTTCAAGTGCCATCCACTTGCCTGAGAATTTCAACATTCCATTGTTTTTTTCTGCAGAGTAGTATTCCATTGTGTAAATGTGCCACATCTTCTTTATCCATTCTTCAGTTGAGTGGTATCTAGGTTGCTTCCAGGTTCTTACTATTACAAATAACGCTGCTACAAACATAGTGAACTTATCCAACATCATAGAGCCCTCATCTAATAGCTAATGGAAACAGATACCCATAGCTAAACACTGAGCTTAACTGGAATCCAGATGCAGAGAGGGAGGACAAGACCAGGCCACAGAAACCCACAGAGACAGCTGCTCTGAACAAGGAGGAGCTAATGGGCCCTCAGACTGATAGCTGAGAATCAAGCATTGGACTGACTCAGACTCCCTGAACATGGGTCTCAGTTAGAAGGCCTGGGCAGTCTAAGGTACTTCTGACAGTGGAACCAGGATGTATCCCTGGTGCACAAAATGACTTTGGGAGCACATTCCCCATGGAGGGATACTCCCTTAGCCTAGAGGCAGGAGGGAGGGCCTAGGCCCTACTCCAAATGACTTGACAGATTTTGTTGACCCCTCTTGGAAGGCACCACCCTCCCTGTGAAGTGTTGGGGGGAATGGGATGGGAGGGAGGGGGAACTGGTATTGATATGTAAAATAAGAAAAGTAAATAAATAAAAAAGAAACAATCTCCAATAAAATAAATACATTAGGAAAAAATGTCAAAAATTAATAAGGAAGCAGAGTGTAAAAATCATATTGTTCAAGTTTGATCGAGGTTTATAATTTCTTTTCTTCATCCATCTATTGACAGAGATGTCAGTTGTTCCCATATCTTAACTATTATGAAGAGTGCAAGTATTTATGCAAAAGTATATAGTTTAGTTGCTTTTATTGTTTTTCTTTTTTTGTTTGTTGTTTTGCTTTGCTTTCCAAGACAGGGTTTCCTCTCTGTTGCTTTGTAGACCAGGCAGGCCTTGAACTCACAGAGATCTGCCTCCCAAGTGCTGAATTTAAAAGTGTGTGCCACCACTGCCCAGCTCACTTTAGCCCTTTTAAAGAGAGGCAATATCTCAGGGCTTGATAAGGCACTCTGTAAAACTAATAGACATTTTTAACTCTTTGAAACATTTTCTGTAGTGACTAAAATTCTTAATTTTGACCATGAGCAGTTAAGGTAACAAAGAAGAAGTGGGTTTTTTCAAGTTAAATAGCATTCACCTGTTTTATACTTTAAGATCTTTGTCTGATGCTGATGAATTAAATACCTGTATCAGAGTATGTGCTTACTAGTGTTGCTTCATCATCCTTGGGCACCACTTTCCAAATGGCAGTCTCCACTCTTCTCATTTAGTCTCCAAAATGCATCTCACAGTCTCACCACCAGTGTTCCCAAATTATGCTTGTCTCTTAATTGGACTCATGGAATCAGCTCTCTCTCCACTTAGCTACACTCTTACCTCCTAAAGGTCTATTCTCCAGGTAGCAGTTAGAGGCATCCTTTCATAATCATTCGGTTTCGTTTCAGCTACCAGGGGCTGTTCTTACCTCTAAGGGTTCTTCAACTTCATCCTCATTCAACTCCCAACAACATTAACCTTCTTGCCTTTCCTTAAGACGAGCTACATTTTAGACATTTTTATTGTTTCTTTTGCTTGGACCTTTCATCTAGATATTCTTAAGTTGTCATCCTTATTCACCCTGTGTTCAAGTCATTCTACAAAGTACTACCAAGGTGGCAGGTCTCTGCTTGCTCACATAGTTACTCTGTCTTTAGTGCTGGTACATGGAGAGAAGCATCAAGACTGTTCTGGAGACCAAGTGAAGATTTCCAGCAGATTCCTATCTGTTTATGGTGACAGTACAGGTGTCCATTCTTCACAGAATGTTTTATGTCTCTTAAGTAACAGTTTACTATCTAATATGTGTTATCAGTTACATTATTAACAGAGTTACTGGAAGACTCACATTTTGTAACATCCTTATAGTGAATGTATACACTTGCATTATAGAATATATTATTTATGATTTCATTCTGTTACTATTCTGATTTTACCTAATTTGTTTTAGATTTAATTTAATTTAGATTTAATCTGCATTCTTTTTGGAACAATTTATAGTGTAAATAAATAAACCAATAAGGTAACAGCATTATCGACAAAAGTTTAACTGCCAAAACAGTCAGTTCTGTCTGTAGATATATCTGCATTTAATGGTTTAATGGAAGAAAATTTGGCTAGTCAGGGCACTGGACTTCTGTGACATAGTTGTTAAGCAACCCTTTCCTTCTCCCCCAGATCCACTGCTTTTTCATTTTCCTTCAGAAAAGAGCAGGCCTCCTAGTGATAACAACCCAACATAACACAATAAGATGCAATAAGAATAGGCTGGATGAGGCAATCCATAGGAGGAAAAGGGTCCCAAAGGCAGACGAAAGAGTCAGAGACACCCCCATTCCCATTGTTAGGAGTCCCACAAAAACTCCAGGCTAAACAACATTAGCACATATGCAAAGGACCTAAAAGACCCATGCAGGCCCCATAGTTGAGGCTTCAGTCTCTATGAGTCCTGCTTAGTTGATTCTGTGGGCCATGGTCTTCTGGTATTCTCAACCCAAATAGTAAAACAACAACCTAGTTATGAATAGGTCAAAAGAAAGACTGAACTTCAGCACCTAACTGCATTAATTTAGATGGATATTCTGCTTCAGTGTCATGCCTAATAAATAGCAAACTTCTGGCTCTATTGGCTAATTGATGTTGAGAGAATTAATGACCAGTGTTGTGATTCATGTTACTTTGTTGTTATTGGAGGTAGTGGTGGGGGTAATGTATGTGTGTGCACACATATGTGTGAGTATGCCCAAGTGCATGTGTGCGTGCATGAGTGTGTGTGTGTGTGTGTGTGTGTGTGTGTGTGTGCTTCCCTTCTGTGGTTTGGCTGGTGTAAGACTATTTATTGCCTGTATTTTTGTGGGTGTGGCAAACTTCCTTGGGTTGGAATTTTCCTTCTAGTACCTTCTGTAGTGTTAGATTTGTGGATAGATGTTTCTAGTTGGCTGTCATGAATTTTTTTCTCCATCTATGGTAATTGAAAGTTTTCTGGGTATAAATTAGTCTGGGCTGGCATCTGTGATCTCTTAGAGTTTATAAGACATCTCTCCAGGGTATTCTGGGTTTTAGAGTCTCCATTGAGAAGTTGGGTGTAATTCCGATTGGTCTTCCTTTATATGTTAAAAATATGGAACACTTCACAGATTCTGTGTCATTCTTGAGCAGAAGTCATGCTATATATTCTCTGTATCCTTCAAATTTTAGTATATGTGCCTCCAAAGTGAGCACTGTTCTTACCCACCTGGAACTTCCTTTTCTATCTATCAAGGGAAGAGAGTAATATGACCTGCTTCCTATTACACCAAAATCCATGCAGTATATGAGGTGGCATTTATAGGCTCTAATAAACTTACTCATCGGTGTTGTGACTTTATGCCAGGGTCAGTTCTAAATGTTTGAAATAGTCAAGAAAAGACATAAATCTGCTGCTTTCAAAGCAAGTCCATTTCCTAGGAAGCTGCCTGTGGTTTTGGTTGAAGTGTGAAGGCTGTTGTATGCCATGTTACACTTTTCAAAGAAGAGAAGTGTATTAAACTTCTCTTTTTATTAAAATTAGATTTTTTTCCTCAAAATAATATATACGGTTTACAGTTTCCCCTCCCTCTCCTTCCCTCAGTCTCTCCCCACCTCCCCTCCCATCCGGATCTACTCCATTTCTGTCTCTCATTAGAATATAAACAGGGACAATAACACAACATATAAGATAAAACCACCACCACCACCACCACCCACCAACAAAAACACGCTGGAATTGGATAAAAGAAACAAAAAGGAGAGTGCCCATGAAAAGGCACAAGAAACAGAGATCCACTTGTTTGCACACTTAGGAATCCCATAAAAACTCAAAATGGAAGCCACAATATATACTCAAAGGACCTGGTGTAGACCCCTGCAGGCGCTGTGGGTGCTGCCTCCATCTCTGTGAGTTCACATGAGCTTTGCTCATGTTGATTTAGAGGGCCTGCTTTCGTGCTGTCTGTCATCCCCTCTGGCTCTTATACTCTTTCTGTCTCCTCATCTGCAGGGTTCCCTGAGCCCCGAGGGGAGAGTTTGATGGAGACATCCCATTTAGGGCTGAAATGTTTCAAGGTCTTTCATTCTCTGCACACTGGCTGTAGATCTCTGTATTTGTTCCAGTCTGCTGCAGGAGAAAGTTTCTCTGATAATGGCTGAGTAAGACATGGATCTATGAATAGAATAATGTTGTTAGGAGTTATTTTATTGCTACTTAAAACAACATTAGTATTGGTCTATCTAGTCTCAGGTTCTTGTTCCCTTGAGCAGTGTTTGGTATGGGTTCCATCTCATGGAGTGGGTCTTAAATCAAATCAGATGTTGGTTGGTTACTTTCATAAGCTTTGTGCCACCACTGACATAGCTTATCTTATTGGCGGGATACCATTGTAGAGCAAAGGGCTTGTGGCTAGGTGTTGCTTATGTTTCTTTTTTAGTATCATACAGAGGACCTTCCTGTATCAGAGACACTACAACATAAGGGTAAAGGCTCTATGTAGGCACCGGCTCTATTACTCCATGTTCAATGAGTTGTGTAGGTGTTGTATTCAGCAGTGGGGCCTTGCCTTCAGTTTGTGGAGAGCAACCTATAGTCCTTGCATCAGTCTCCATTGTTTGGGGATTCCCATGGGACCCCTTTGACCAATAATTCAATTAGATATAATCCAGTCCTAGTACTGGAAGCTTCATTTGGTGACAAGAGATGTCCAGTTGGGGATCTCTCTCCCCATTATTTGGCAGTTGCATTCAGATCACGCTCATATATATGAAGTTTCTACTGTATTAGGTTTCTATGCTAACTCTCTCTCTCTCTTAGTCCCTTAATCTATACCTAACATCTGTGGTTCTATTAATTGTAGCTTGGTTAATATCTTAACAGTTAATATTCACATATAAGGAAGCAGATACCACATTTTTCTTTCTAGGTATAGGTTTTACCTCACTCAAGATGCTTTTTTTCTATTTACCCATGAATTCCATGTTTTAATTTTTTTTAGTAGCTGAGTAGTGCTTCATTGTGTAAATGTACCACATTTTCTTTGTTCATTTTTGAGGATTGTTTACTTTTTTGGCTATTTTCAGTTGAGCACAATGAACTTGTTTGAGCAAATGTCCTGTGGTAGGATGAAACATCCTTTGGTTATATGCCCTAGAGTGGTATAGTTGAATCTTGAGGTAGATATATTCTCATCTTCCTGAGCAACCAACATACAAGTTTGCATTCCCACCCGCAATGGATCACCTTATACTCCTCATCCTTGCCTGCATAAGCTGACACATGTTTTATTGATCTTCGGCATTCTGACAGATATAAAATGAAATTTCAAAGTAGTTTTGATATGCATTTCCCTAATGGCTAAGGATATTGAACATTTCTTTATGTGTTTATCAGTAATTTGCGTTTCCTCTTTAGAGAATTCTCTGTTTAGATTTGTACCCCATTTTTAAATTGTATTACTTGTTTTCTTGATGCCTAGTTATTTTTATTTTTATTTATTTATTTTTGTTGTACTTCACATAATTTGGGTATAGCCCTCTATCCAACATGTAGTTGGTCAATGTCTTTTCTCATTCTGGAGGCTGGTACTTTGTCCAGGTGATGGTGGCCTTTGCTGTATGGAAGTGTTTCAGTTTCATGAGGCCCCATTTATTAACTGTTGATCTTAGTGCCTATGCTAATGGTATTGTTTTCAGAAAATCTTTTCCTGTGCCAGTGTGTTCAAGACTATCCCTCACTTTCTATTCTATCAGGTCCTGTGCATCTGGTTTTATGTTGAGATCTTTAATCCATTTGGTGTTGAATGTTGTATAAGGTACTAAGTAGGCATGTATTTGGATTGCTCTACATGCAACCTTCCTGTTTCTACTAGCACCATTTTTTGAAGATACTCTCTTTTCTCCAGTGTGTATTTTTTTTTCTTTTTTAAAAACCAGGTGTCCATAAGTGTGTGTATTTATGTTTGGGCCTTCAATTCAATTCCATTCATCGACATGCTGGTTTTGTGCCAATACCATCCTGTTTTTATTACCAAATCTCTGTAGTAAGTATAACTTAAAATCAGGAATGGTGATACCTCCAGTAGTTCATTTATTATTCAGTTTGTTTTTTTTTTTTAGCTGACCTGGGTTTTTTGTATTTTCATTTGAAACTGAAAATTGTCCTTTCAAGATGTGAAGGAATGTGTTGGAATTTTGATGCATTTGATAGGATGGCCATTTTCACTATATTAATTCTACTAATCCATGTGTATGGGTGATCTTTCCATCTTCTGATATCTTCAATTGATTTCTTCTGTGTCTTAAAAGTTCTTAATCATACAAGTCTTTCACGTGCTTTGTTAGAGTTACCCCAAGATATTTTATATTATTTGATGCTATTGTGAAAGGTGATATTTCCTTCTCAGTGTGTTTGACATTTTTATATAGGAAGGCTACTGAGTTTTGTAAGTTAATTTTGTATCCAGCTGCTATGTTGAAAGTGTTTATCAGCTGTAGTTTCCTGATAGAATTTTTAGGGTCATTTATGTATACTCTCATATCATCTGCAAATACAGATTCCTTTCCTGATTGTATCCCCTTGATCTCCTTCATTTGTCTTATTGCTCTGGCTAAGGTTTCAAGTAGTATATTGAACAGATATGGAGAAAGTGAATGACCTTAGCTTGGTCCTGATTTTTACTGGGATTACTTTGAATTTTTCTCTATTGAAGTTGATGTTAACAATGGATTTGCTGTAAACTGCCTTTATGATGTTGAAATATGTCCCTTTTATCCCTGATATATCCAGGACTTTTATCATGAAAGGATGTTGAATTTTGTCAAAAGGCTTTTTCTGCATCTAATGAGGTTATTGTGTGGTTTTTGTCTTTCAGTTTGTTTATATGGTGAATCATACTGATTTTTGTGTGTTGATCCATCCCTGCATCCTTGAGATGAAGCCTACTTGACCATGGTGGATGACCTTTTTGATGTTTTCTTGGATGCAGTTTGCAAGTCTATGTTCATAAGGGAAATTGGTCTGTAATATTTTGTTGTGCCTTCATTTGGTTTGGGTATCAGGGTAACAGTAGCCTTATAAGATGAAGTGGGTAGTGTTACTACTGTTGCTTGTTTGTGGAATAATTTTAGCACCATTTGGCCGTGGGCTTTTTTTGATTGAGAGACATTTTAATTACTGCTTCTCTTTCACAAGGGCTCATAGGTCTCTTTTAATTGATTGTCTCATCGTGATTTAATTTTAATAAGTGATATGTATCAAGAAGATTATCCATTTCTTTTAGATTTTTCCACTTTGGTGGAGTACATGCTTTTAGTCTGTCCTTTATGAGTTTCTGTATTTCCTTGATGTCTGTTGTTATGTCTTCCTTTTCATTTATATCATTTAAAATTTGGATATTCTCTTAGTTCCTTTTAGTTAATTTTATTAAAATTTGTCAATCTTACTAATTTACTCAAAGAATCAACAATTTGTTGATTCCTTGTTTTTTCCCCATTTTATCGATTTCACCTCTGATCTTGATTATTTCTTGCCATCTACTCATTTTGGATATGAATCTTCTTTTTGTTCCAGAGCTTTCAGATGTGCTATTATTAAATTACTAGTATAATGTCTCTCCATTTATTTTGAAGTTTTACTTTATTTGTTATTATTATTATTTCTTATTTTACATAATGATCCCAATTCCCTCTCCCCCCCCCATCCTCTTATGCCTCCTCAACCACCTTCCCATCCCATTCCCCACCCACTGCACAGGGAGGGTGAGGCCTTCCTAGAGGGATCATCAAAATCTACCAAGTCATTTGGAGTAGGGCCCAGGCCCTCCCTCCTGTCTCTAGGTTAAGGTAATATCCCTCCATGGGGAATGTGCTCCCAAAGTCCTTTCATGCACCAGGGATACATTCTGGTTCCACTGGCAGAGTCTGGTCAGGCCTTCTAACTGAGACCCATGTTCAGGTGGTCTGGGTCGGTCCAATGCTTTTTTCCCAGCATTCCCAGTCTGGGGTCCATGAGATTCCTCTTGTTCAGGTCAGCTGTCTCTGTGGGTTTCTGCAGCTTGGTCTTGACCCCTTTGCTTATCACTTCTCCCTCTCTGCAACTGGATTCCAGGAGTTTGGTTCAGTGTTTAACTGTGGGTGTCTGCTTCTGCTTCCATCATCTACTGGATGAGTGCCCTAGGATGGCATATAAGTTAGTTATCAATCTCATTATCCAG